CCATCGCTCTTTGGTTGGAGGCCATCGCTCTTAGGTTGGAGGCCATCTCTCTTACGTTGGAGGATGCAGCGTTTGGAGTTTTCGAGTTGCGATTTCTTGCGAGCCGTGAAGGATCTCTGCGTATTAAAATGCTCAGCATTTCATTCAGGCAATCTGACAAGAAAGGTGGCGTCGTATGTGTCGATCCTAATTGGACAAATGGTGATCGGTGGAGACCGCCGGTGGAGACCACCGGTGGAGACCGCCGAAGGCTCGGCTTCTGGGGTTGGTTTTGCCTCGTGCTCGTCGTGCTCGTCGGTGGTGTCACACCGTCCTGCTGGAGCCGGTGCCACGTTCGGTGTTTGTCGTCGTCCGTGAGGATGGACGCTTCAAGGAGAGTCACAGCGTCGACCGAGAGGCCATGGCACAGCAGCTGCGTGATCTACGTGAGCACGCGGGGTGACCTAAAAGGGATCTGAACAAGAACTTTCTAGACCCGGGGGGGGGTAGGCTGCTAGTAGAGTTGAGGTAGGTTGTAGCTATAGAAGTAGGTAGCTATAGTAGAAGCAAACGGTTGCTATAGTACCTACAAGTAAGCTATACTACAATATATGGACGCAGGATAGCGCTCGCACTATTTATTTGGTTCCTTCCAGGATGGTTCTATATATATCCACTACAGGACACCGGACACCACGGGTTCGTCCCAGAGAGGTCGTGGTCTGCCCTGGCCAAAGACCAAAAGAAAGGTTGACCGACCGTGTTGTAACTGTATACCAGGACCCTCCTGTCGGGGTGCCCTGTCTGGAAGCCTATAGGTAGTGTGGGGTAGTTCATTGGACACTCCGACAGGAGGGTCCTGGTACATGCTTAGTATAGACAATGGTTCTTTGCAGACCAAAACCATGGATCCTTCATGTCGCTACCCTCATGGAGCTTTAGGGACTTTTCACTCACTCACACCACCCAGCCCACGGTGACCCTATTGGTCCAACTGCCTCGTGTGTCCTTTGGGCCAACCCCACGCGTGGTCGCCCGAGGTGACCAGCGAATTGGCCTCTCTGGCGGCCAAGAACCAGGCTTTCGACTGGGAGCGGCCCGAGCGGCGTCCGAAGCGGAGAGGGTTGAGTTGACTAGTCGAGCTCTCTCCGGTCGACTGTCCGAACACCAGGTGTGGGTTGACCGTCGGATGGGTCGGATGGGGTGTTTTTGGTGTTTACTGGGTGTCATTGATGGATGTGTTGTTGTTTAAAGCAACGGCCTCCGAACCTAATAGCGATGGCCTCCAATCAAGATAAACCTGGTTTTTAGCAGTTGGTAAATACAAAGATCATCAAAGATCACTCTTTTTGAGATGGAAAGGCCTCTGCAACCAAACTATCATCATCCACAACGCCCCCGTGATTATGAGAGAGATACCCAAGTTCCCCAAAAAGTTCCGGTGCCCTCTTTTTCGGTGCGACTGTCCAAAAGAGAGTGTATGGGGGTGGCACGGGTTTGGCACGGAGGTACCGGTGAACCGCCAGTGAAACGCTCGGGTTTCTTGTTCGAGTGGTCGGCCGTCTTGTGTGAGTATACGGCCTTTTGGTCGATTCAGTCTTCTCATTCGTGCAAGGAGCTGAGAAATCTGGTCGAGAATTTCTACAACCCAGACGCGACCCTGGACCCGAACCTATGCAGGGGTCGGACCCGAATCCTATGGAGGGGTCTGGACCCGAACCAATCCCGGTTTTGAGGGACCAGTCGGGCTGTGAACGGAGCGTCTGGGAATCACCTCCATACTTATATACCAGGACCATCCTGTCGGGGTGTCCTGGCTGGACTACCCCACACTACCTATAGGCTTCCAGACAGGGCACCCCGACAGCATGGTCCAGACAGGGCACTCCTGTTCAAAAGGCCGACCAGCCACGCTCCGAGCGATCAAACATCACCAGGCCGTTCAAGTGAAAGCCGTTCAACCACGACAGGTGCGGACGATATGAACTCGGCACTGGGGTGGAGGCAGCACGTGCTTTTGTTGTCTGTTTGATGACTCAAGTTGGTGAGTATCCGGTGAACAAATCCGTTTTCGGTCCATGTCAAGCCACAAATTGGTTGGAACCTCGAGATTCTGCAGGAAATGTTGATCAAGATCAGCTGGAGAAAGTAAGAGAGAGAGAGAGAGTTCACTGCCAAAAACCGGGTTTAGCTCTTCTTTTTCGGACCCAAAGATGGAAGAAGGCGAGATTCGTGCGAGTGATGTAAAAGAAATTGTCCAACCTTGGGCCACAAGCTCGTGTCTTGAACGGAGATGGCCTGAACTTGGGTTCCATCACCTCTGAGAACACCGAAGCTCTCCGTTTCCTTGTTTTTTTACAGAAATTCCAAGTTCCGGACCTGTTCCCTGTGGATCGCAGGCAAAGCGTAAGGAACCAGGGATTCGTTCGGTCGAACTGGTGAAATCGTCGTCGTTCGGAACTGAGAGTGATCTCCCAGCGAGAGGAGCGACCTCGTGGGTTGCCTGCCTGGATGGGGTGGGAGGGGTATCCCAACCCCCCCGTAGTAGCTTCTTGTTTCTACGTTCGCAAATAGCTTCTTGTTACTAGTAAGGCCCTTGTTACTAGTAGCGATGCACTTGTTCCTAGTAGCAAACATTGTTTCTACGTTCGCAAACATGGTTACTACTAGTAAGGCACCATCTGCCTAGTAGTGTGGCACTTGTTACTACCTTCGCTAAGCTGGATGTCCTGGGGACGACGAAACGATGCCACAGGTACCTGGGCTGGAGACCCTCTTGCCGGAGAAGGACTCACACCACTACGGAAAAGGATCTAAAAGGTTATAGATACCATTACTCTGAGAAGATGAAGCTGTTGTGGTTATCCTTCAGGTATTTTGCTGACTGAGCGCGCAAGCTTGCGTGGCAATCTCTTTTTTTCATTCCGCTGGACCCGACGAGTCACCTTGACTGCGAAGGATACAGGAGGCATTGACTTCCAGGCACTGGTTGGCGTAGGTGAGGCGCCCAGATTCTGTTCAATCAAACATCCCCAGACACTCCATGGGATACATGATTACATTGACCCCCAAAACCACCCCTGGCCGTTTCTCGGTAGTCCGGACTGGCAGTCCCAGACGGACGTCGTGTTTGGCATGGCTCCAGAGTTGGTCCGAAGGCTGGCCTCGTGCTGTTTGACCCGGTTGCTTTGGGACGTCCAGACGCGCCAGATCACCCCGCCGTGCGGTGCTGGCCGTCAGACCGCCCAGGGATGGAAGCAGAGACCGACGAGGACGGCGATCCGATCAAGAGGCCCAAAAGCAGTGACGGACGGTGAGGAAAAAGGACAAAACATGGCCCGGCGCAGTGCTTCCCTGAGAATCAAGGACCCGACCCTCAGTTCGGTGAAGGTTTGGTTCGGGTCCTGTCGGGCCCCCCTGCGGAACCTGCAGGGTCCGGTCACCCTCCAGTTCGGTTCAATGATTCTTAGGGTTACTTAACAACCACCGGTCACAATGTGGTGCCACCCATGCTGGGTGTAGCTGACATGGTCGTATGTTCGACCCCGGGGTTCCTGAAATAGACCAGAAGCATCCCAAAACCTAGCCCAGGCATGCCCAGGCCTGGGCCTGCATGGGGATCTCGATCATATGTAATCCACACACACCGCCCATGTAAACTCTTGATATTTCAACCCCCCGATACAATGAAGAGGTCTTACATGGTTTTACAATCCATGTTTGGGGGTTTTATTCATCAAGAGACAGATGCAATCCAATAACGCGGTACTTCGAAAAAAGAGCGTCAAAGCTAAAGTCGCGGCATGGGCAACATTAAATCACATCATTCGTCGTGTTACCGTGGGTCGCATTTCTCTGTATATACCCTACCCTGATGTGTTGCCAGTTGTTAATTGCGAAACTCTGAAACAAGAGATGCAAAGTGTTTGGTCTTCCATTTGAGGGGCTTAGGCGAGTCTCCTGCGGGCGCGCTGGGGTGAGCACGTCGTTCACTTTCGTCTCAGCCAGACGATCAAGCCTTCTAAAGGACCCATCAAAGACCTAGCCAACTATATAAATCACCATGCTTAAAGCCCTGACGTACTGCTTAAAGGCCCGGTTCCATGGCCAGTATTCCGTGTGTCGCTAGCGTCATCTCAACAACTGTTGGTCCCGAGACACTCCATGTGTTGTGGAAGAGTTATACCTTAGCCTGGTCTGCAACTATTGCATAGTACCGGAGTGTCTGTGTTTGGAACCTCTCGTTCCTAGGTTCCGAAGTTCAGATCACCCCAATGTTGGAGGCCATTGAAAATGAGGTGTCCTTTCTTTCTCTCTTTAGCTCTGTGGTGTTTTTTCATGTGTTTTTGCTAGGTTGGAGGATGTTGGAGGCCATTCCTTGCGGCCATGGCCTAGGCCTAGGCCATTCCTTGCTTCCAAGGCGGAACTCCAATGTTGGCCGGCACAACAGCGCAGAGGTCCTACCGAAGCCATCGATGCTCACAGTCGCTGGGCTGGCACTGGAGAGGGGGCAGGCTCGGTCCGACTAGATGGTGCACTGGTCGCCCCCAGTGCTGTATTTTGATGCTTCGACTGGCTTGGTACCATTGGTGTGACACCAAAGGGCACCCAGGACCATGTTTTGTCATATTATGTTTTACCCAGACGCTCCTGGACCCTCATATGCAGGGGTCAGACCCTGATATGGAGGGGTCTGGACCCTCAAATCCCTATGGTTTTGAGGGACCAAGGGCTGTTTGGAGCGTCTGGGTAGGCCACAGTGTAGAATGTGGCACCTCGAACCCTTCTTTTTTGCGTCCGCCCTTCTAACCAGCCGCCGCGAATCGTCGCGAATCGCTTCGTCACCAGCTCCACCGCGGTGGAGCACCGAAACGAAGGGAAAGCCCACCGTCCGTCCTGCCGTACCGTCCCCTAGGTGTTCACCCACATCGAGCAACCTTTCTTTTACCAAGCATTTCTACGCTACCGAAACGAAAATTCAACTGTTCGGTTGGTCACAGGGTTCTTTGGCGGAGCGGAGAACCGCAATAAAAGACAGCGATGCCAATGGTTCTTGCAGGACCTGGTTTTTGAGAGGTGAATGAACGTGGCATGTGTTCTGTTTTGAGTTGAGCAGTTCTCTTCATGTCCGGTGTGTGTTTCTCAAATGACTGGGTGAAGAACCACGACGACCGACCGTCCGTGGCTTCGACCGACCGACCGACTCCGGATCGGTCGTGCGAGGTCAGCGACGGGATGTACCGGAAGCTCGGTGAGGTGGCCAGCCGGCGCGAGGTCTACGACTTGCAGATGGAGCTGCGGAAGTTGAAAGATCGTTGGGAAGCCAGAGCGGATCGGTTTGGTTTGAAGAAACCAGCGCTGGAGCTGAGCGGAAAGTAAGAAACTCATGGAATTCTTGAAGTCTGTGCAGCACGTGGGCTCTCATCTTAAGGTTTTGCTGTAAGAAGAAGAGAGAGTGAGGAAAGTCGAGGGAGTCTCTGCAGATGCTCACCCAAAACTGGGTGTGAATGCAAAAGGATAGCTAGCTTGAGATGTTTGATGCTTGACCTTCACAGGGTGTACTTCAGAAGCCCCTAAGTGCCCTAAGTGCCGTGCACCGCCGATGGTTTGGGACGGGGCCACGACTCCAAGGTGAAGACTTCAGGACGTTGACCTGCCCGAAAGCTGAAAAAGCAGCCCCTCCGACTCGTCAGGGAGACACCAAATTCTCCATTGCCCTTCCTCCTTGCGTCCCCAATCCTTCGGCGTTACGAACTTCCGAGCAGTTCGGAATTCCAAGCCGCTCTGCATCCATCCGGGGTTCCCCAAGCCCTTCCGTAATGCGAGGTCAGCTCCAAGAGCGCATCTTCCACAAGTTCAAGTGCCAAGCTATGCGCCAGCGCTTCGAACGGAAGGCCTTTTGCGCGGCCGAGGAGTTGGCCTGTGTTGGTGTTGGTGTTGGTGTTGGTGGTGTTGTTGTTGTTGTGGTGGTGGTGGTGTGTGTGGGTGGGTCGTTTTTCTTTTTTTTAAGGGGGGGGCCCGCTAGTACGTAGAGGTGAGGTAGGTTAGCTAGCTAGGTAGCTAGTAGAAGCAAAGGAGTCGCTAGTAGCTACAAGTAAGCTACTACATATGGACGCAGGATAACTCACGCTTCTTCAAGGAAGCTCTCCCTATTAGGGCGGGGGGAGCTTCCTTGAAGAAGCGCTCGCACCAATGATTTGTTTCCTAGATTTTTAGGGAAACTATAACTAAACCTTTCGATGGCCTCCTCCACCCTAGTAGCCAACGGGGGGTTGGCCCCTTGGGCTTATCACCGAGCAACAAGGTGATTGTGATCATTGGTGATCAATATGAAGAAATGCGAGCAATTCATGAACCGTGTGAGAGCCATTTACTTGTCTATAGCAGCTCAAAAAAAGGGTTGAATCACACAGCCCGGCCTTCTTCCTATCTCCCACGGCTGTTGGATAACCTTCGCAGGTGCGGGAGCAGGAGGCGACCCTCGAATCGAATTCCTCCCTCTTGAAACACTTGGCCGAGATCTCGCGGAGCGCCGCTGGTGCCGCAAGCCCAAACGGACGCGAGCGCGCAAACGTACGCGCCCCGCGCCGCGGAGGTTGGGGAGTCATACGTCGGAATGAGTAAATACCACAGAGACGGTTACCATGGGACTGGCATATTTACATTGGGAATCATTGGGGTGGCGATGCCAGGAGCCAGTAGCGGCCTTGCTCCTAGTAGCGAGGCCAGGAGCCCCTAGTAGTTTCTTGCTCCTAGTTTCAGGGGTCAATGTATCTATTATTATTATTCCATACATGGAGTGTTTGGGTATGTTTGGGTACTATAAATGTACTTCGGAGTGGAGATTACTCGCCGGGATTCCACTGTGAGCCCCCGTAGGATTCTAAGGGGACAGGGTTGTAGGTCATGTATTCACAGGCATGTTACTAACTTTTGTCCTGTCGGTGTAAGCATGTGATGCGTGTGTGTACTCAGCATCCTTTTCAGCCCTTCCAGCTTGACTTCGAAACCATTCACCCAGGAAGCTGCTGCAGCAAACGACTTCGTCAGAGGCAGGGTGGTGTCGACCAAAAAACAGGAGAGGTTGAAAGAGCGTGTTCTACAACCCTAGGGATCCAAGTACCTTGTCAGCGGGTGATTGGAGACACCGCTATGTAGGTTTGGAGGGTCCAAGTACCTTCTGAGAAGGTACTTGGATCCCTAGGGCAAGTAGATGACATGACCGTCGGGCCATGCAGTGGATTCCGCAACAACTTCTCACGTTTCTTCGGTGGTGATTCTTCAAGCATCACGATCTGTCTATGTGGCCATTCCATCAAGAAAATCTCAATAGTTCGTTGATGCGCGCGCTTTCCTGTGATGTTTTTGGTTCATATGGATTGCACCTCTCCGTGGATTGCACGTTTGCCCCAACAAAAAGCTGCACCTCTCCGTGTGATCCCCTCATGTCAAATAGGGTGGATTTTTACTCGAAATGAACCGATGCTGAGTTTCTCACAGCGCTGGTGAGTTGCTCCAGGCGCGCAGGAAGTCTCCGATGCTGAAAAACGCACAGAGGACGTCGGGGGAGGTTACCCCACAGTCTCCAAGAGAGCAGAAGAATGCAGAAGTTGCAGTGAGCTATGGCCAAAAGCCCCAAATGCATGGTTTAGCGGGGATTATATAAATTAACGCCTACCCAGTTTTTCAAGGGATACTGGTAATGACCGTCGTTACACTAAAAACATATTCTAAAAACCCACGGTTCACGAACACACAGTGAGACGACACATCACGCGGAATGGTCAACGCGCAGAATCGGAGAACGCCATGGGTCTCATACCCAGACGTTCCATGTATACCATATATATACCTACATTGACCCCCCAAACCACCCCAATGTAGGCATATATGGCAGTCCCATGGAGCGTCTGGGATATGTGTCCCATTGGTCCAAAAGGTCGATGACTTTCCGGTGGTCCGGGTATGGATGCGCCGGGCGCGTCTCTACGCGACGAGTGGACTGCCGGACGGACTGCCGCCCCAGAAAGGCGGCACCACCCCTGGCCGTTTGCAGTCCTGGCAGTCCCAAACAGGTTGTATCTGGGCATGGTCTGTGTGAGTCGAGGCGTCTCTCGGTGGAGCGTGACTTCGGTGGCGAGCGTCATTCAATTGATCGATCGCACCGGTCCAATGCTGTGTCCAACGAGCTGCCACAGATTCTTCCAAAAAGAGTGACTATTGGACGTTGCATGACACACCCATAAGGTATCCAATGGCAGTGGGCTGCTTGTACTTTCATCATCTCCGAGTCAGGACACGTACACAAAAAACAAGAGAGCAGAGCAGAGCACCTTTGCTTGTTTCCCGGATTTTTATATGGTTTGCCTGCTTTTCAACCACTGTCTATATATACTGTCACCCGTTTGCCTTCCGTCCGACCATTCTTCAAAGAATGAAAAGCATTGGTTCTGCTGGTTGTGCCGTGTAAACCCTTGGTAAACCTACAGGTCAGTTTGGCCTCATTTTACTGGAGGTGGTCATACAAAAACAGGCTGGACTTGTAGAGCTAAGGGTTCTACGTGCTTCCTAGTAGCAAGAACCTATAGGTTGGAGGCCGTTGCTACTGGAGGCCATTGCCACTAGTAGCTCCTTGCTACTAGGTTGGAGGCCATCGCTACTAGGTTCAAGGCCATCGCCAGTAGGTTGGGGGCCATTGTTACTAATTAGGGGTGGAGGCCAAGTAGCAAGAAGCGACCGAACGTCACGAGCGATTCGTCCTGGGCGGAGCTCCTACGGCTCCGACGTCCAGGAGTTGGGCCCGGTGACCGACTCCAACGCCGAGCAAAAGCGGCGGCTGGTCAAGTGGTGCGCTGGGTCGGTTCGGTCGGACGATCCGAGGCATGAGATCAACGAATTGGTTGAAGGGAACATTTGCAAACCCACCCAGCGTTTTCGGGGTGGTTGTTTCTTCCCGGTTTTTCGACGTAGATGTTCAAAAAAGATCAAAAAAGATAATACTTTCATTGACCGTTCAACCACCTGCGCGTCGATTCCTCAGTTTGAGGGAAAAGAACAGGTTCGAACGGCTTGCGTTGCTGCGAAGCGGTTTCTGCGCAAAGACCAATGGGTGGAGCACCTTCTGGCGGCGACGAGGGAGCATCTTCTCACTTCGGAAGATGGTTTGATCTACCCACGCGAGCGATGGCCTCCAACCTACTAGTAGTTTCTTAGTTAACTAGTACGTAGTAATGCCCTTAGTTAACTAGTAGTGACGCCCTTGTTCCATGAGATGGCCTCCAACCTACAATCCAGATGGTAAGAGACCTACATGTTCAAGAAGAGTTGGACTCTGTGTAGCGCAGCGTTTTCTTCAGCCGTTCGCAGGAAAAAGAACAAGAGCAAGCAGCTCTACCACATGAAGAAAGGTGAGCTTCCGAGAATGACCGTTCAGACTGTTGCTGTGAAAGCCAAGAGATGTTTTCTGCAGCCTGTTGCAGTCCAGGTCGAGCAAGAGATGTAATGACTTTGCGCAGTCTCGTATTTGTCATTGACCAGGTACCATCTTGTTCAGGACAGAACTGAGGACGGCTCGTTTCGTTGAACTTCGACATGAGAGGATGTCGTTGAAGGATACGCTGAATTCTCCCTGCAGTCAAGGGCAATGTGAATATGCACTATTACTTTTAACAGATAATTTTTATACATCTGTCAGAAGACACCCTGTGGCATGGATCTTCCACGGAATGGACTTTTAAAAAAATGCACTCATTGGTCGCCTTCCAAGCATGAAATCTCCTGAGGTGTTCGAGATCATGAGATGGCAGGAACAATGGATGTGGCATCCTTGCTCCAGGAAATCCAGTCCAAGCAGGACGAAACCCGCGTCTCATAGGGGTCTCGTGTGGTTTTTAGGTTGGCACTCTATAGACCTGTATAGACCTGGCGTCGATCTGTTCGTACCTCAGAAAATGGAGCCCCAGTCGTACCTGTTTTGATAGGGTCACGTCCCATTTTCTTTGGAGGGTACTTGAAGTCGGGTCCAGGGAAACAGAAAATGTTATTGTAGAAAAAGTTCAGAATCAGCGTATCTTATAGTCTTCCATCCCTAAGAATCATTGGACCCTCCTATGGAGGGTTTGGACCCTGCATAGCAGGGGTTTGGACCCTCAAAACCTTCACCTTTGAGGGTCCTTGATTCTTAGGGATGTATCAAACATCGCCATGGTCCAGGCTGGTGCGACACAACAAGAAGCCAAACACACCCCAACTGGCACTCGCCTTCAGTCGACGGTCGTCTCGGTCGAGTCGGCCAGCGCCGCCATGCGCAGCCGGTCCCTTTCGTGTTGGAGGCCACCGGTGTGTAGCGTCGCAGAAAAAGAGCGATCTTCACAAGTGGGGAGAGCGATCCGATCTTCACCCAATAAGTGACTACCAGGGGCCCGACAAACCATCAAAAACATGTTGTTCCAAAAAAAAACATGGTTTTTGTATGTGAAAACCGTTGTTTTTTCATGGTTTTCAGGGCTCCTGGTAGTGACTAAAGATCTCTTCAAGCACCTACTAACCGATGACCACTCCTTGAAACCATGGTTGGATGACCAACAGCTTGGCCCGTTGTCGTCCTATTTGGCCCGGGAGAAAGATGCAAATCCGAAGACCAAACATCCCCCACCATCTTGGCCGGGTCCGCTGGAGACTCCAAGAGGAGGGTGAGTGGTGCCATCCACGAAACCATGATTCTTTCGGGAAAACGACCAACGAACGCAGCAAAAAAACAATCAGGCATCGCTCGTTCGACCCATGCATCCTTTAAGAACCAAAGATGCCCGCCGTTGATGTTCGGGGACAATGACTCACCAATGGGTTTGGCAGGAGTTGGTGAAACATGGGTTGGAGAAAAAGAAGCTACGGTGTGCTGTTCTTGACGCGCCATCGGGTTGGGTGCTGCCTTTCTCGCCTGAAATGGCACGACCTAAACATCGGTTCTGGAAGGCGCCATCTCCGTCCCCGGACGTCGAGCTGTGAAACACGGCCAGGAGCTGGTGAAGATCTTGCAACAAAGTCAGAAAGAGCCTGGACCCTTTGATTTGAGATCAGAATGCATTGATCTTTGAGATCTCAGACGGTCTGACTTCAGACCTCTTTGCACACACACTGCTTGTTTCGTGCCGCGCATGCGAGCAACTCGCCATGAAAGACACCGTAAGCGACCAGGTCGTTTGGCTGGTCGTCGACCGGCTGTTTCGCTGGCTCGCCCCTGCGGTCCACCTCGCCGAGGTTTGACCAAGAGGTGGTGCGCGCCAGTCGCCACAGCGCTGCCAAGACCGCGAATGTCCGTGCCGCCATGATCGAACAACGACAAGTGAAAGACGAGACGTTACTGGGCACGTGACCGGGTGCCGCTGTGGAAGACGGTCGACGCCCGAATCGTCACGTCCCGGCACGTTACGGTGGATCAGGTCACCGGTTAGGCCATTTCAGCGGCCAAGAAGGGGAGACAAAAAAGGGTGGACAGGTGTCCTACTCAAATGCACTATAGGTGGAAACAGGCTCCGGCAGGGGAAACAGGCTCCGGCTCCATGTTTCAAGGAAACGGCTCCGGGGTCAGCTGTTCCCCAAGGTTGCTGGGCGTGGCTTGGTCCCCACTGTTTTACACATCAGATGCAGCATGATCTCCCAAAAATCAGAAGCAAAGGAGGTCATCAAGGCAAAACGAATGGGACATGCTAGTGGGGTATCTCACTATGCTGGTTTTCCACAACTCCTTGGATACATCCCAGCATGGCTAGATCTACACCATGAACCAGAAGGCCCCTGAAAATCCACGCGCCCTCGCCCCCGTGTGGCTTTGTGTTGGCTTGGTGAAACTGGCTGCGCCTCCAGTCTCCACGAATCAACCGGAACATGAATCCATCGGCGAGGCGAAGAGCGTCGGGGTGCTGGTGTCCCCCCCAAGAACCCGAGAGCCGAGTCAACCATGCGAGCGAGTTGCGGAACGCGCAGAGAACTGCCGTGTGCTCCGATTTGTATCGACCGGAGGTACCAACGAGGTACCCACGCATGTCGTTTGTTCACCAATCCAGGTGGTTTTGCGCAAGTGATGAAGGGAGGAAGGGAGGAAGCAGTGAGAGGGGCTGGGAAGAAATGACTTGCACAGAGGTGCAGGTGAGACCGGGATCCAGATACATCCACAGGCATCCAGACCCAATGATGATCGTTGATGAACCCACTTCCGCATCTCCATGTATTATACCTGGACCTTCAAGGGGTGGTTAATGGTAACGGCTAAGGGGCTATAAATAGACACCCCTTGGAGGGTCCTGGTATACGTTATCGGAATTCATCATGTTCAACGATCAACATGAAAGAGGATCACCGAAATGTCTGTGTTTTGCTCTGAAATGAGACTCCACACCCCGCGTATGTCGCAGTGAAATCTAGTGAAGCAGTCTAGTAGCCAGTTTCCAGATGTTTCCAGATGATCCGTTTTTTTGGAGATCGGCAACCAGGCCCCATCATCGTATTTTGGTCAGCAAAATGTGGGCTTGTATTTCCCAGTGCATCCCTGGCCCAGTTACCACTGTATAAGTAATAAGGAACCAGGGATTCGTTCGGTCTATGGTTTTAGTCCATGGTTACCAGCTGTAGTGGTAACTGGATGCCCTGGGTCTTACTTTGGGGGACCTCCCAACCATTCCCGACCAATGTGTTTAGTCGTTCATTCGGGTCGTGCTGGGCTTTCGCTCCGCTCACGTGAGGTTCAAAGAGCTTCAAAGGCTGCGCATGGAGATGCAACGTCCCGACGGGACGAAGAACGTGGTGCGGGCGCCCCAACCGTCCAAGACCGTCTGCACACCCGTTGGCTGGTCGAAGAAGGCTTCGGAACCAGCGAGTCACAGACGTCGGCCCGGCGGTCCCGGTGTGAAACGTCCCATCCGACGATCCACCGTGGATGTGGATAGTGACGATCCACCCCGATGCCCTCCGAATCGCCTTCGACCTTCGGGGGGTCCAGGGTTCGGTCGGCGAAGTCGGGTTCTGCAGGGGAACAAGGCCTCAGCTGTCACCCTGGTGAGATGCTGAAAAAGCGGGCCAGCAGTAGAGAAAAAGATGAAAAAGGGAGTTTAGGGGTCCCTTTGGAAATGGTTTATATGTTTTAGGGCGCCCTGGTGCCTCTATAGACTATATTGTTCACCAGGATGAGGCAGGTTCTTTGCTTGTGTTTCTTTTTTCAAGCTTGCTTCCTTCTACTCACAATCCAACGCGAGAATCTAGGAACTTCATCCTGTGTGCAGTCTCCTTTGTCCATTCAATACATGGTGTGAAGGCTGGATCCGAGTCGCTTCGAAGCTGCGGTGCCCAAGGATTACTGGCGCTCCAAAGTTCAGGAGATTCGCCAGGAGATGAAATGCCTGGAAGAGGACATCCCGGGCAGCTGGCCGAAGCAAGCGCGTTTTGCGGAGAAGAACGAGATGTTCTTGGTATCGAGAGAGAAAATGGGATGCACCTTAGAGATTCCAACCATCATTAATTGAATTTAATGGGTTGAATCCCGAACAACCATTGTTTCCCAGACGCTCCAAACAGCCCTTGGTCCCTCAAAACCATAGGGATTTGAGGGTCCAGACCCCTCCATATGAGGGTCCGACCCTGCATATGAGGGGTCAGGAGCGTCTGAGTACAACACCAGGTCTGGTCCCGTCATCGACTCCCAGGGTGAGTCTCTCTTGTTTGGGGAAAGCGACTGGGTCTCCTGTTCATAGCCCCAGGAAGCAAGTACCCGACGTCGCGTACCGCTTCGGATCATGGTCCCGACGACGTCCCGGTTCGACGTGTTCGTTTTCCCGACGAGACCAGGTGCGAAACCAACGGGTCATCTGGCTCGACAACCCTACGTAAACAGGTCTCCCTGTCCAGGGCACCCGGCTGTCCGGAAGTGCGCACGGTAGGATGACTTCAAAATGGGACCCAAACTGGAGGGGTCTGAGGCTTCACCCATGTTTCAATCTGTTTGAGAGGAAAATGGGCTGCCCAGACACGACGTATGGGACTGGCGACTGCCGCCCCAGACCCCCCCAAAATACCACCCCTGGCCGTGAAACTCGGCAGTCCTAGATGGCAGTCCCAGACTCATCGCGTCCTGGGCTGTTTGGAACCGAGGAAACACTCTCCAAAAGACCTTCGGGCGCGTTGTTGCGCCGCTGGACCGTCCGCGCAACATCTCCAGGACAACGGCAAGCTGCGGATTCTATTGTCGATGAGGGAGCACCCAGAGGACCGCGATGGAGATCCAGCGATGTGTTCCGTCCGATGTTCAGGTGTCCGTCTGCCTGAATTTGTCTCTAGTTTTTGGGAGTGTGGATGCAGGTCATCAGGTCATATACATCCCGGGTTCCAGAATTCCCAGATAGAAATCTGAGGTCAACAAACATGTTGTATGTTGTTCTTTCGTGCAACCCTTACGGCATGTCCTTGTCCAAAAACGGGCCCCTAAGAGGGTGCCGTTCGTGTTGGGTGCGTTCGCACATGTGCGTTCTGGGCTTTGTAGCTTGCGTGCATGGAACGCGAATGCATTGCCCACGGAACGCTCGCCCGTTGCGGGCAAGCAGGTGCGTTGCGTGATGGCCTCCACGGGGTTCTCAAGATCGGACATCGGACTGTAGCAGGTTCTTCCAATTTGGAATCTTACAGGTTCTATGAATCTGATGAAACCAACCCCCACCACAGGACTTAGACAACACGACGTCTTCGATGACAATTTGAATTATGGCCAGGCCCCACCCCCCCTACTCCCCCCAATGTTCTGACCGACACGCAGTGTCCATTTCACAAGTGCAGAAAGCTTTTCCCTTTTTGCGGGCGGTAAAAATATCATGTTTGGGAAAGCTTGGCTTTGTGCATTCGAGATTTGATTCGGATAACAGGCTTTTGGATTTTGGTCGCTTACCTATGGTACCATATTGTCGCCTGATCGGGGACCTACTGATATTGATGTGTTCTATTTCTTTAATGACCCTTTTATGTCAAATCCAGTGTGTGTTTGTTTCAAAGCTTTTTTGTGGCTCTTCCTCGTTTCCTGGAAGATCCTGAAAAGGCACAAGAGGACGAGAAAGTTTGGATCGGGTTTTGCCGGAGCAAGTGTGAACGAATAGAAATAGCAATGGCCTCGAACCTAGTAGCGATGGCCTCCAAGTGTGAACGATGATTGCATGAGGTGTCTTCCGAATAGAGGCTGATAGAGCCTATGATTCTAATTAAATTCTACTAGCTTGTTTCTACGTTCGCTTCTTGTTACTAGCAGTAAGGCCCTTGCTCCTAGTAGCGATGCCCTTTGCTCCTAGTAGCGAACATCTTCCGAATAGAGGATCGTCTTGGCTCACCCTTTCAGGATGGCAGTCCGTGAGCCGCAAGTCCGTTCGCTCAAGCCGTATCTCGGAGCCTCAAAATCCGGGAAATTGGGATCCAATGGTCTCAAAAACAGCCTCGTTGTCATGGCTGTGGCACGTTAGTTTGACTATATCAGCTGAAAACTGATGGTCTTCTTGTGCGACACCGCTTTTTGGTGTGCCGAAAAGCCTCAAAACCAATCATGAAGCATCCACGTCCCCGGTCGCGGCGCTCCAAATCGAGACGCGGGTCGCGACGCGGCGAACGTCTGGCGCTCAAAGAAGCGCGGTCGCGGAGGGGGGGGGGTGCACGAGCGCTGCGGACCCTACGAGTATAGCTCCTGGCCTTACTACTACTAAGAAAGGACGCCTCCAACCTAAGAGCAATGGCCTCCAACCTAGAAGCGATGGCCTCCAACATAAGAGCGATGGCCTCCAACCTAAGAGCAATGGCCTCCAACCTAAGAGC